TGCGCAGTTATTATTGGCTGTAATATTGCATTAAAAGTTGTGTTGCATGTTTAAAGTCGGGTTTTCAACTCACAAAGTCGCAGTGCCAGTCGACCAAATGTTGGCCCGGAAAATCAGAGTAACTTTCCTTGCTCCACGAAAATATGATGGTCTTTCGGCAAATAAAGCTTGTAGAACAAATTTCTTGCCCCACTCTCACAGTCGGTGCATTGATTACCAATTTTTGCGCTGTATCACAATCCCATAGTCCCCGGTTTATTGGGCCCCGCAACATGTATCCTCTGCATACCCGCCCCTGCTCTCTAATCAAACATTTTTGGATGGTATGAATTTCATTCAGCAAAAAAAACGTTGCAATTGACACGTTTTGAGCCTTTTGGAGGGACGGATTGAGATGCAAGTATCCATCCTTCTCATTCCACCCAAGGCTGGCATATATGACTCGACTCGGACACTTGTATCACGATGGGTAGTAATCTTCTGTTGCGATGGTAATAATCTTGACCCTTTTATGTATAAGACAGCCAGAAAGTTACCTCGCTCTTATAAGGTGTTCTTTTTCTTACAAATATAAACAGGATTCAAGCCTAGAAAACCAACGTGTTGGGTCATCAAGCAATTGGATATTTCACTGTGCTGCCACTTTACTTGTTTTTATCACTTAGTCTCAACTGAAGCGCCGGTGAAACTGTTGATATCTCTTACTATAAACCCGAATCTTGAAAATCTGGAAGACGTATGCTGCATGTATCTTTCTTAGCGATGATTAAGACTTGAGCGGGTCCTCTGAGAATACCTTGGCAGTGTACATATTACGCCAGCTTCGTCGTTCAAGCCGAAAATCATGCATCGACAACGAAAGAAGGTTTGACATGGCCTTTTAGTACATGCAGTGATCAAATTGCACTTAGACAGGTGACAATTCTTGACAACAACTCGAAGCCGTGAATCTTTTTGTATTAGGATATGCATGCAGTATTTAGACCGTATAATGCGTGACCGTATAGTGCATCTCATGCTAAATCTGGTACTTGTGAAGCCTAAACTTGAGTCTTCTAATGCGAAAAAAAAACATTCATCTATCTGGTTATCGGTGGCGAAATATTTGCTTTTTCACAAACAAAACAAAGACTGGGCTCAATTCCTCTCTCCTAAAATTTAACAGCTATAAAATTTCTGCTGGATATTCCGAATGACTCTTTCGTACTCTCCCCGTCTGTCGTCACGACATCATCGCAACTTGCATCATACAAACGTTATCAGCAAAAAGTCGCTTACAACTATCACGGGAACAATCTGGAAACTTGAACATGTTTAGAATGCACCGACAATTGTCACGTAATTGTTGCTCAAAATCAAGTCTTAAAATTCCGCTTAATAAGATCACGCCCAGCCATCAATGATTCTCGCTATTTGTCTCATTACAGTGTCCCAAACTCAGTCAGTTATTGAGTCTGTCTATGCTCATCCGCTCGCACAAATACAGCACCCACTTTTAGTACATTTCTCGAACATGATGTGTATACTTGGCTTCGTAATAATTCATTCACCTTCTTATGGCTGCAGTCTTGTGTACAAAGACGCTATTTATGCTGATGTCTATCACTTTGACATTTGCCACCAACTGTGGATACTATTATGCGAGTCTACGTTCTTGTCGCCATCTTTATTAGTGGAGTTAGCTTTTGCTTTGCGATCAGATTGAGAGCAAAAGCATGTAATGATACAGACTCTAACGGTCGTGATCTGCTTTGCACCCGAGTACACAAAGCTGACTCGATCTCGGATGGAGCGCAAAGTCATAATGTCGAACGTGTGGAGAACGAGGCTCATTTTGTCAACAAAGAGAACGAAGCAAGAATGCAAGATGGTGCTCTTGATAGTATGCTCGAGAAGTTGATGTTAGAGTGGCCAGAACTTCCAATAAATGCGATGGATAGAGTTGACGAGTTGATACACGACATTTCCGCCGTGAAAACGCCTCGACAGGAATCATCGCCTGCTTATCAATTCGCACAACATCAGCCGATCGATGCAGCATCCCATTCGCCTGCTTATCAATTCGCGCCACCTCAACTGATCCATGCAGCATCCCATTCGCCTGCTTATCAATTGGCGCAACCTCAGCCGATCCATGCAGCATCCCATTTACCTGCTTATCCGATCGATGCAGCATCCCATTCGCCTGCTTATCAATTCGCGCAACCTCAGCCGATCCATGCAGCATCCCATTTCAACCATCCCGGAGACACGGTTGGTAGCAGTATAATTGCTGGACTTGAAGCTAGCTATTACAAGAGCACGACTCCGTTAGACTGGTTAAGACGTGTAAATTTCTACAGGAGTATCGCTTTAATGGATAACAGTATTGAGAAATATGATAACACAAGGCTGCTAGCCTTTTTGGCGAGAAAAGTAAAACCACAAGGGGTTGTGAATCTGTTTGGTAATCTTGCAAACATCCCAGATTGCGTGAGCTTCGCCGAGGATGTACAGCGAACCATCGTATTGGATTCCACGTACAAGCATTTAGTGTTTGGTCGATGGATTATAGATGGGTACCACCCAGAAAAGATTCTCGACATTTTTTTCGCGCACAAGCCTGTGGTCATTAAAGTTACGGATCAACTATTTTTGGCGTGGCTTGAATACTGCACGTTGTACTGGAAAGGTACAAACAGTAAAAGCCCATTGCGCTACGCTGAATTTCTGAAGGCACTACGCAAATACTTGTCGGAAGAGAATCTGAATAAAATGATTTCATCACGAGAGTTTAAGGAGGCTTTTTTGAAAGTTGACGGCGTGCAGGACGACTTAAAAAACATACGGTGGACTCGGCTTTCAGATTATTCCTTAAGCAAAAAGGATCGCCCAGATCGTGTGTTCTCCAAAATAATCAGATATTCGCCTGATTTAGATGATCCAGAAAACTCTTTGTGGTTGTGGATGCTCAATTACGTCGTTCAGTACAGGAAACAGTCTACATTTACCAACATCGAGCTTTTCATAATGTTGACTTCCGAACTCTCGTTTGAATCGCTGATGAAGTTGTTGAGATCTCAATGGAAATACCCGCAGTTAAAAAAACTAGCAGACGATATGCTGAAGTCCATGTTTTCTTCTATAACCATGCTTACGACTTTGGCGAAATCTGGAGTCAAACCTGAGGAATACTTTCACCACCTCGTCAGTGTTTATAATACGGTTGATATGTCTTCTGAGCCAGTTATTGTGGAAATTCCACAGCAAAATGAAAGGTTTCACGTGGCTTTACAGTACCTCAAGTATGCTCTGGTGGTTGATTTAGAAATAAACAATATGAAATTTGACGACAGCATCGAAACTTCAATTGACTTTTTGAGTGGAAAGATGCATGATTTGTCGGATCAGCGTTCGAGAGATTTTCTACGCTATAATATGAAGCAATTTAGGCAAAATTCGATAGAGACCGAACACGGGTTGCCACCTGTTTCATAGTGCAAGAGAAGCGTTAGAAGTGTTGGTTATTTGCATCATGGTAACATGTCGGTTCAAGATAAGTGTATTATGCTATCGACTGTTAATCATCCACTTCACTAGGTAAGAATGACTGTAGAACTTACTTTCTACTCATCTTGTCTTGATCGTATATCCGTTTATGACCCTGCTCGAAAATTTGGACGTTCCCTTCGATCACATAACTCTAGCGTCAAGCCAAACAACCAGCTTTCAATACGTTTGCTAGTATAGCTTAAGAAAAAATACACTTCGCCACTTCAGAAATTGAAACGTTCTACTAATAGTTACATCACAAAATATGTCGTTTGCTTGGTAACTTCACTCGATCGAATGTAAAGATGCTCACAGCTGAGAAAAGTTGTGGTGCGACGATTCAAACATGGGAAGTGAGGGATGATGTATCATCTTGCGTGTTTTGTGGCTTCTTATGCTTGTGCTAGCATTTGGAAGCAAGTTGCTGGTTGCTAAACTGACAACAAATTGATGAGTATTGATGACGTCTTCAGTAGTCGAGAATACAGATATTTGCTATCACATATAATCTCAACATAAGACAATGAAATTGTACTGCTCTTGAAGAGATTTGACATGCACCGCAAGTTGGTACCGCCATTCAGATTGTTAGTTTTGTGAATTGGAAAATCGGCAGGGGGCCAAGGAGGACACCGTCACGATGACATTTATTGAGACGTGTTAAACACTTCCAACTACCTTTGATTCGAGAGTCAAACAAGAGGTTATCAGTCCAACGGCTCAGACCGCGAGAACAAAGCACGAATCTCCATGTAGACAAAGAGAAAGTCCTTCTGAGTAATGCTGACTACTTTTATTGAAAGTCCAATATTGTCATGACGGGAGGTGGCCAAGGCTGAAACCGAGATCACGGGTGCATGGCTCGTGAACTCCACCAAAGCACTCGACATTATAGCTTGAGTATTGGACTTTAGCGCCAGACAAAATTCGTTTTGTGACCTGGGCTATGGTAACGCTGCAATTCGCGATAAGCGTAAACCGCGTGGATGCGATACAGCCGGACAACCAAACAACTTTGCATATCGTGCTACAGTGACGCGATCTCTTCATAAAGTCACGATGGTTGAACGCGATGAAAAGACTTAGCATCGAGACAGCTTTTGCGGGCTGGTCGTGGGTTCTGCAGACCCTCAAAAATTGGTCGAGACAAGCCAGCTCATGGTTCTACTGAGCAGTCTGCCGAAAGAATGCGAATTTTATGGGTCGATAATCGACAACGCGATGGATGTGTCGCTGATTGAGGCGAAGTAAGAAGTGCGAACGGCTTGAAGGAGATTCCGAAGCGCGCTAAAGGTGTACATTGGGCGTTTAACTCGAAACAGCAGAACGAACAACGGTGTGCAGAATATCTGTGGTTTTGGGGGCAAATGATTTAAGTGTGGCATATTTGGGCACATGAAGCAAGATCCATTGGCCCGGCTTCAAGCCAATCTGATCGTGAACATGACCGGAAACGAATTGGAACTAAAAGTGCAAGGTGATGCAGTTTTCGCAGTTGGCGAAGGCCAAGAATGGGTGGCTAATACAATTGGTGTATATTTTCGGTTTTGACTGATGGAAGATGTCGATAAGGAGGCTGAAGGACTGTGGAATGAAATAGGAGGTTTAAGATAAAGTGTGTAATTTTCGTAGCAAGACTAGCGCAGTTGCGGTTGAGAAAAATGTCGAAAAGGCCTATATTCTGAGGTGTTGACAGGAAGAAAGCGGTTCATGCAATATACCGAAGCCGACAATCAGTAGAAGCTTTGTTACGTCCCCCATGAGAACGGAATGGACAAGCTGCAATGTGTTATGGCCACAATGCCAACCACTCCATGAAGGGAAAGCAAACAGTAGCTTCAGTTTACTTTTCATCTCGAGCAAAAACATCGCGCGTCTTGAATTCACACGGATGACATACAACTAAGGATACTGCATTTCGAGAGCATTAAAAAGCTACCTTCACTCGAACCTTTTGTAAGAAAAGGAGGAAGGTAGCGAGCAACTGAATGAATTCTCAGTGAAGTGAACGGCAAAATGACTGCGCTACGACAATGAAACGAAATTTGTGAACAAGATGATTGCAAACTCTTGCCGGAAGATAGCCATCCTTCATTTCGCTTTCAGGATCTACGTTGCAGAGCTAATTAATCGGATTGACATGAAGAAGGCATCGAGCATACTGTATTTTAAAAGAGGTGGTTGATCGAAGCTGCAAGGACTGCGGTTAACTTGATCAATCGATCCAAACACCGAGCATACTTTTGCCATTCCGTATGAAGTAAGTTCCTGATTTAAATCCATGCTGAGCTTTCTTTTTTTTTACATCGAAATCGTGGTGCATGTTGACAATGTAAAGCGGTATCGTGCATATCACTCGGACTCATCTAAGGGCAATTTTGAGGTGGGACGAGCGTGACGTTTGGTATGTATGGCCAACAAAACGGTCTTTCATGTGAACAAGAGCGTTGATGACGCATCCAGCCGACACAAGTGGATCGCTACCGGTTCTGGGACGAATAAGAGGAAGTGAATGAAGAACCGGCAAAGACGTAGAGATGGACGATGTCAAACCGGTGTAGAACACAGTATTGCCATTTTAACCACCATCTGAGGGACTTGAATCAAAATGACCATAAAGTTATCAACGATTAGTCTCCTTCCAGAACGTTCAATGAAGATCGGACTATTTTCTGTCTCGAAACAGAATGTACAAGGCGCTAATGCAAACTAGTGTTCTTGTTGGAGATCGGATAGAAAAGCAAACAACGGAAATGATGGACCGCCATTTTTGAAACGCGCTACGATTCTAGCACGGGTAGTGCTGACAAATGCAGCTAGTATTAAAGATTTGCCGACTTTGTGGACTTGCCGTTAACATGCGCACATGCAATGTGAAGCGAAAATGTAGGAAGGCTGTAAAGGCAAAGTTGGAGCTGCTTGTCAAAAGTAAAGCGTGAAGTTTATTGTGACGTAGACCAGGTATGCGGTCTATTGGTAGTTGTGTGCACTTGAAGACGGCGTCAAGAACAGACGCGTATTTCGTTTCAAAATTTGGTTGGTAGCAAAGGGCTCAAAACGCCCTTTGGTCTCAAAACGCCTTCTGAAATAGAGTTCTTCGAAATACACCCATCTGCTGCAAAATAAACTCAATACCGGTCATACTGGATGTATGCGTTGTAGAGCAATGTCCCTGTTGAGAAAGCAGCATAAGACCATCCTCTTTTTGCTCATTTATGCGATCTTAAGAGCTGCGGTGCCGATCATTGCGTTTACGACAAGAGCGGTTGATACGGACATGTGTTTGTTTGCCTCTACGAAGAATGACCAGCTCTTTGTCTCGAAAGAATTTATAAAAGTGCTTAGACTTGCCTAGTGCTTGTAGATGTCAAGGGAAAACAAGGCCGACATTGTGCGACTAATCATCATTTCTAAAATAAAAGATCGTAAATGCCGCTGGAGTATGACTCAATTATAACATGCTGGGATACCTATACATTGCGCTTACCTACAGTGTTTATTCCAAGATGGCCACTTCTAAATTAAATTTAATATGAATATATTTTCATGCGCTTCAAAAATATTTTGTAATCGAGGCTTACATGAGGCACTACTGCACGCCGAGTTTCATGTGTGTGACAAGTTTGATCTAGACACCGACGAGATCCTGCATGCAGAAAGAACCCGCAAATATGAAAATGGCTTTGAGGCTGTGAGACAATGCCTCATATGTGCCCTTATCTTGGCTCTTTTAAACCATTCCATGGCGGCTGAGATTTGAAAAATGACATAAATTTTTCAATGTGTCTGAGCGGCAGAGAGCTAATTCCGTGGTTACTTTAAGGAGACTTGCAATAAATTATGCACTCGCCAAATATAAATTCGGAGTGCACGTCGGTGCTGTAATAAAGCAAGTCATGGGATAATGCATACCGGTGGCATACGTCAAACACGACACAGACAGATCAAGACAAGAAATTGGAGACGAAATACGTGTACTAAGAGGCAGTTGAGCTCTTGTATTTATTCTCCTAATCTACCAGCACAACAATACATGTTGCCTATGCACGTACTCTGAGTAAATCGCTGCATCGATAGGCGACGTCACTATCCTGTCGCGTAGAAATGCATTGCCAGGGCCGAAACAAAACCTGCTTGGCTTTTTGGGGTCAGCCCCGTACAGTTTGAAGTATTTGCTTCTGGGCATAATTCGCTCAATCCTCACTTCTTTGGCGGATATGCAATGTAAGGCACTGCGAATACTGCTGCATTCTGGGGTATGACGGAATGACTCGACGAAAACAACGTGGTTGCATATAGGTGCATATTCTACTTTCTTTTGCCGTTGTTGTATGTGCTTAGAATCTAGTAGAGGACAAGCTGCACGAGGTATTTAAAACGCTATGTGAGCGAAAAGCTGTGAAGTTGTCGTCAAGATTAATCATTTGTGCACTGAAGCGCTATAGCTTATGCAACGTAGCATTGGCTGCGCATGTACACACGTGACGTTCCTTGCCACAAATGAGCTGTAACTTATTCCGAATATGCTTAGACCTCATAAAAGTAAAATTTAAAGTTTCGAGCTTGTGAGAGGACTGCCATCATCTCGACCTCCATGTAACCAAGATTCATGTAATGCTTTGAGAAACATTCGATTCAAAAGGTCGGTCGCGATACGACAGAAATAGGCATACTTTAAATACCCGAGAAGGTGGTAAGGCTCCATTCGCAATGACAGTGTAACGCTCTATCACCAGCGTGTGGTATCATAACGCATTATAACTCTTTGGTGTCGATTATCAATTAACAGATTTTACCTTTTTTATAAACCGGTGTATCAACTAATACTTGCTGCTAACTTCTCAATTTGCCTCGTCGAGCACAAGTGTCTCCAGTCAAACCAGCGAAGTAACCAGAAACAAGCCACTAACCCACCGCCGATCAAAGATGAAGCCAGTGGACAAGCCTGAATCAGTCTGCCCATCTCCCATCAACCATGGTTTTGCGGGTGAAAAGCCACCTGTGCAGCTACCCCGTCCCGTCTTTGTACCAGATCCAGTACGTCTCACCCATTATGAGCAGCCGTCTGCTCCGTATGGCACCATTTCAACGACCGGCGAACTCGCGTCCTTGCCTGAGCCTGCAGTAGCTGCAGCCTTATCGGACATGAACGCACATGCCCTGGTCACCCCAGGTCCGGCCATCGCTCCTGCGACAACTGATGCCGACGCTCGAGCTCCCGCTGACGGAAACGGTGCGACCACTCGCATCGTCGACGTTGGCGCTGGCATGACAGTTCTTGTGACAGGCGCTGCTCCGGTGGTGTCTGACGCTGAGGACACAGTCGTGCTCCCGTCTTCGCAAGTTCCTATTCTGAATTCCAATGGTGACGATAAAGATGAGTCCATGATGGAAGCGACCTCGCTTCAGCTCAGCCTCGCCTCAACGCCTGTTGAACCGATCGCCGACTCGACTTCGGCCGCTCAGCAATCGCCTGCAACTTCTGGAGGCGAAACTCCCTCGCTTGGTGCTCTTTTACGCCGTCCCACAGAGATTCGTCGAGACAGGACCGCTGTCTCGGCTTCTAATCGTGTGGTGCTACCTAGACCGTGTGCAGCAGATATCACGGCAATCGATGCGCTATACGAAAACGGCGGAGATTGGGCTTCGCTGCTTGCTTCGGTCGAACAAGCACGCCCATATGAACTCCCTCGTGCCCGCTATGTCATGACCATCGGTACCGGTCGCGCGTTCGAACGCACGGGAATCAACAAGATCATGGCCTCGTTTCTCAAAGAGAACGGGAATGCAGTGGTCACCGAACAGATCAAGCTTCAGCAACTCGGTCAAATATCCAAGGGGCGTGGTGGCGAGATCTGAGTCAAGGTCAAGTCGCGTGCGGCGTGTGAGAGCCTTGCGCGCCAAGAAGTCAAGATCCTTGGTGGCAAGTACGTGTTCCAGGACTTCGACATTCTCGCCGATCGTTTTTACCTTGACATCTCGAGCGTCGACAGCAACTTCGACAACAAGGGACTGCTCCGCGCTTTCTTCGAGATAGGGAGTGAGCCAATTTACGACACGTTTCGTGATGTAAACCTCGCGTCAGGTATGACCACGGCAACCTGGCGCGTCTACTTTCGCAGCGCGATGTGCCCGGGTGCTTTGCGCGTTGGTGGTCTCACGTGTGATCAAGTGATTTTTGGAAGTCGCACGTATCCAGCTCTCGCACGCGATGCTCCTTTCCCGTCCCAGCGCCGTTGTCTTCGCTTGCCTTGAACCTAGACAGCCTCAACGCGCCTCGGTCAACATCGCCAAC